TTACTATTCATTTTGACTATTCATTTTTCTATTCATTTTACTATTACAAAAATAATTTTTTATTCACAATTTGATGAATTCTGATCTCTTATGACTCAAGACAACGTGGAATACTTATCCCTTCCACAAATTAATTTTTTTTTTACTATTCACTTTTTACTATTTTTTTTTTAAATCTAGTATCTGAATTACAATATTTTCAAGGGTCTTACAGGAGGGGTGTTGTCTTGGCCTTTTTATATAGCTATAGCTCCTGAGAGGTAGGAATGGGTTATGACAAGTGCATGGTCTTTTGTTTAATCAATACACTAGTCCTCAAGAGGTCATGTGAGATGTATATTACAGTGTAGAGTCATGAGGGTCTATATGTTTGATATTTTTCATGCTTAATGATTTAGTATAATGTGTGAAATGTTGAAAGGATAAATGGTTCATATGACTTAATTTTTAAATTTTATAAGTATTATGATTTAAATTTACACTAGCTTATATTATTTTTTTGTATTTGTTTATGGTTTACCCACATGGGATAATCTTATGTTACACGTGAGCAAGGAAGAATGCATATATGAGGGTTGAGAAGGAGTGAGATTTGTTGATAGATGATTAAAGTGTAAGTATTACATAGGTATATAACTGTATAAATCTTCTAATTGTTGAAGGAGTCTTTACTGACCCTACTAACAATTTCAGCATTAAAGGGTTGATTCATTCATTCTTTTGTAAGAAAATTCTCTCTGTACATTCCAATATAAACAATAAAGATCCTTTGTTCGGTGTCTATTATATTTCGTGGATTCATTATGTTTTCTTCGAGGTCCTTCCTTCCTAGAATAACCATAACAAAGTGCAATGATGTAGAGGTGATTATACATGAGTATTGGTTAAAGTTGATGTAGAGTGCACAATGAAAGAAAAATTTTGAAATGGTTTAGTTCCAAGTGAATAGGTAATTATGCACAGACATAAGATAAAAAGAAAGATGTATTTATTTCAATTAAGGTGAAGATGGTTGGGTTCATAAAAATAACAAATCTTGAAAAGTCTTACATCACTTAAGATAAGGAATAAAGTGGGTGATAGTAGTTATAAAATGGATTTAAAGTGTATGAAGTTGTTTGAGTAAAAAAAAAAACACTTTTTAAGTTTCTATTTGATCCTTTTTACCCTTTTGTATTAAAGTGGTATGAATTTTGGTTAAGTTTTTACTTTGAAAAGTATGCATTTAGAGTCAAATGGCATGGGAAAGTGATATCTCTTAAATATTTTTCACATGGTATTACTTTTTTATTGTTATTAGACAATGATAGTATTATTTTTTTAATTTTAAAACTTTTACATTATATTTTTGTGTTGAATATTTTTATCTTCTTTGTCAATGTGTTAATTCTAAAGGTAGAAGAAATGATTGTTTTTTCCATCAAAAATTTATAAACAAACCCAATATATATAAAATATAGAAACAAAACCAATAATTTTATAAAACAAACATATAGATAATATATGTAAATACAAAAGTGAATATAGATGTTCATTTCATTTAAGTTCCCGCTACTTATTTTAATTTTAGGATAATTTTTTTTTTAATCTCAAATGTTCTATTTAAGGAGTTATTCTTATTAGTGCATGGAGTGAGATTATTTTTGTGATTTTTAATGTTTACAACGAAGATGCACTATTTGATTGAAGAAAAAATAACTTTTCTCTACTAAATAATTAAGGTGAAAATATTATATTAAATATTCCATTAATGTTTAACCTAAGAAAGACTTTTAACAACTTTAAAACAGAACAGAGAAAAAATCTCTGTAGCACAAATTTAATTTATTTTATTTTACATTGGCGTGCTTAGAGTGTTGTGGAATGGAAGCCATCACCCTCATCTTCGTTGAAAAAATAGGAAACGGAAACAGAAAAATAAGGGAGAAAAGGCGAAGAAAACAGTAATACAACAAACTCTATCATATATATATATAGTCATGGCAGATGAGAGAGTATAGTATTAAACTGGGAAATTCACAAGAGAGGGACACTTCAATTGCTTATAAAATTTTCAAATCAGTGAGAAGTCTTGATCGCTGTCGCAATCTGATAGAAAATGTTTTCCGGCGGTGGACGCGGCTGAGCACGGTGCCGAAGGAGAAGGAAATTATTAATCATGAAGAAAGGAAAGGGTAAGAATAGCGGCTTGTTGCCAAATTCACTGAGGATAATTTCTCTGTGCCTAAAGACTGTGTCAACGAATGCCACCACAGTTGCTTCTACTGTGCGCTCCGCCGGCGCCTCGGTCGCCGCTTCAATTTCGTCTTCCGAGGATCACAAAGATGAGGTACTGCTTCAGTTTCACCTTAGATGAATGCTTCTCTTGTGGTGTGTTTGTTACCAATTAATAATATAGAAATGAATAAATAAATTTAACTACTTAAGGATTATAAGTAAATTGCTATTAACAGGAAATTGCTACTAACTGGAAGTTGGGTTGAGTACTTTTGACATAATTCGGTCTGCATTTACACATAGCTTTGGGGAGACCAAAATGAAATAAATTCTTTGAAATTAATTTATATACAACCTAATTTATCTCTAAAAATGATTTCTTGATTTATGCATTAACTAATTTTAATTTACGAAGAAACTTTTTTTTTTTTACTTATAGTTTCACTTCTTATAAGTGCTTTTGATGAAGTTTATTCAAACAGTACTTTGTGTCTGTCTAATGAAAGTGCAAATTGAGTTGGCTTTGCTAATTTGTTAATTGACCTAAAATAAACTTTCTTTAGGAAATGAGGGTGAAAAAAAAGGAGGGATGAACTTTGCGAGAAAATTGTATGAAATAAATCAAGCTTGAAATTTTCACTTTCAGTATTTTCCTTTTTTTGTTTACATGACTGGTTCCTGGGAAATATCTGTGAATCTACTCAATAGTTTTTTGGGATTCTGGTACTTGACAGAAAACGTAGAGGGTGTTAATTTCATATTTATCCCAACGAACTAAGATATTAGATTTGGAATCTATTTAGTTTACCAACTATATTATCGGTAGTTACACATTGGAATTTATACGAGCTTTAAATTCTCTTCATAATTTATTTTGCTTCAGATCTTGCTTTAATAGCTTTGACTTGGTCGATAGATTTCCTACATTTTTCAGACTCAATGCTTTCCATTTTGGCTAATTTTCCATTTTCCCATCAAAAATATGTTCAAGATGATTAGACTTTATTCTTCTTTGATCTTTATATTGCATGAGCTATTGTATCCAATATGGCGTACTTGTAATTATAATTTTACCTTTTACAACTCGTTGATAGGTAACCTGGGCTGGTTTTGATACACTGGAACTTGATCCATCAAACTTCAAACGCGTTCTTTTACTTGGTTATCTGAATGGATTTCAAGTTCTTGATGTGGAAGATGCCTCTGGATTCAGTGAACTGGTCTCAAAGCGTGATGGTCCAGTTTCCTTTCTACAGATGCAGCCCTTCCCTATCGGTGGTGATGACCAGGAGGGACTCAGAAAGTCGCACCCTTTACTGTTGGTAGTTTCTGGGGATGGTAATAGCAATGTTAACCGGAACAGTACTTGTTCGAGTGGTTTAGAAAGGGATGACAACGTTGAGATGCATTCTGGAAACAATGTCAACTTTTCAACAACTGTTCGGTTTTACTCCATGAAGTCTCACTGTTATGTTCGTGTTCTGAAGTTCCGTTCCACCGTGTGTATGATCAGATGCAGTTCACGGATAGTAGCAGTTGGTCTTGCCACACAAGTATGCAATGGTTTCTCCTGTGTTTTGTATTACTTTTTAATTCGTATATTATAGCGTTATTGTCAGATAAAGATAATCATCTTTTTGCATAGCTTGTATGCGTAATGTATGGAATAATTTATGTTTTCCTTTATTACTTTTGCAGATCCACTGCTTTGATGCCGTAACTCTTCAGAATAAGTTCAGTGTTCTCACTTATCCTGTTCCTCAGTTAGCTGGAAAAGGAACAACTGGTGTTAATGTTGGTTATGGTCCCTTGGCTGTGGGTCCGAGGTGGTTGGCATATGCTTCTAACACCCCCCTTCCCTCTAATTTAGGTTGCTTAAGCCCTCAAAACATCAGTGCTTCAGCAGGAATTAGTCCATCAATTACTCCAAGCAATGGTAGTTTTGTGGCTCGTTATGCAGTGGAGTCCAGTAGACATTTAGCTGCTGGAATAATCAAATACTGTCAAGAACTTCTTCCTGATGGCTCCTCTTCACCCATGCCATCAAATTTAGGTGTGAAAGTCAATAGGGTTACAGGAACTGACGCAGATAATGTGGGCATGGTTGGTATTGTTTCATGATACCTGAACTACTTGATAAGTTAGATATTTGTGTGCTTTATATGACATGTTAATCTCCAACATTTTTTTGTCATGTGTTGATTGCAGGTAGCCGTTAGGGATTTTGTTTCCGAAATTATCATATCACAATTCAAAGCTCACAGTAGTCCTATTTCTGCACTATGTTTTGATCCTAGTGGGACCCTTCTAGTTACTGCATCGGTCTATGGGAATAACATTAATATATTTCGTATAATGCCATCATTCACATGCAAGAGTTCAGGAATTCCAAGCTCAAATTGGAACGCTTCTCATGTGCATCTTTATAAACTTCATCGTGGAATAACACCAGCTGTCAGTACATCTTAGTTCTGATCAATTTTATTTTTTTGATGATATTTCTTTTATAGCTCGCCTTTGTGCTCTCTTGATATATTTTTTTCTTATTTGCCAGATGATTCAGGATATCTGTTTCAGTAACTTTAGTCAGTGGATTGCAATTGTCTCCTCCAAGGGTACATGTCATCTGTTCATTTTATCACCCTTTGGAGGTGATACTGGTTTTCGAATTATAAGTTCTCAAGGTGAAGAACCGACCCTACTTCCAGTTTTTCCTCTACCTTGGTGGTATACGCCGGGTTCCATTTCTTATCAGCAATCTTTGCCTCCCCCAGCACCCGTTGTCCTTTTTGTGGCTAGCCGGATAAAATATAGTAGTTTTGGATGGCTTAATACTGTTCACAATTCTGCTGCAAATTATACAGGAAAAGTTTTTGTTCCATCTGGTGCTATCGCTGCTATCTTTCATAATTCCTTATCTCACTCGCAGCTTAACTTGAAGGAAAACCCCTTAGAGCATATATTGGTATATACACCTTCAGGTCATGTTGTTCAACATGAACTTCTGCCATCAGTTGGTTCAGAAACAAGTGATAGTAGTTTGACAAACCAGTCGACTTCAGTCCTTCATATGCAGGAAGATGAATTCAGAGTCAAAGTTGAACCTATTCAATGGTGGGATGTCTGTAGAAGGTCAGAATGGCCAGAAAGAGGGGATACTTGCATCAATACCCTTGATAGACAAGGAAGTATTGAGAGAGTTCAAGAGAAAACAGGTTATAGTGACATCCCTGGATCGGATTTTTTGGGTATAAGGGATGGGGCAGAGGAAAAGATGATGAAATCTTCAAGTGAAAATATGCAAGAGAGGTTTCATCGGTATCTGTCAAATGCAGAGGTGCAAGGCAATTTTGGAAGGTTACCCATATGGCAAAAGTCTAAGGTATTTGCTGTTCTAAGTTTTGATTTTCATGTATTATGAATTGGTAGTTAAAAGTTTTGTTTCTTCAGATTTGTTTCTATTCAATGAGTTCTGTGGGAGCTAGTTTCAGTGCTACAGGGGAGTTTGAGATTGAAAGGGTCCCTGCTAATGAAATTGAAATAAGGCAGAAGGAGCTGTTGCCTGTTTTTGACCATTTTCATAGTATCAGATCAAGCTGGAATGAGAGGTGATGACTATTTTCTTTTTCATTCCTTGCAGTGTCTGCGATCTATGTGTGGTGCCAATACTTTATGAAATGATGTCATTTTATCTGATTAATACTACTTTTGAATTACAATATTGGACTGAAACAGTGGTATATAGTAAAACAAAATGCCTGAGCTTTACCAAAGACATGAAAGAAATAATATAATGGGTTTTTAGCAGCTCTAGAGTTCACTGATTTCTTGTTTCAGTGGAGAACGAGAAGGATGATGTTTATTATTTGAATACTTATTTCATTTAACCGGTTACCTTCAGAGCACATTATATTCCTTAATGTTGAACATCCACAATCTAAATTTTACAGGATAGTAGTTTATAAGTTTCTAACTACAATCTTGATAGTGCAAGTTCACCCTAATATACTCTCACTCTATATAAGTAAACTGGTTTTACTGTGTTTATTCTTACAGTTGTTGAATCATTGCTTGTTGGCTGCTGCTTTGAATAAGCGAATGTCAATCTGTACCTTTTTTTCGTTATTATATTTGTTGAGTTTGGATTTCGAAGTCAAAGACAATTTGACTTTTAATGCACACCTGTCAGAAAAAGAAAAAGGACAAAGAAAAATAAATAAATGCCAGTATTATCATATGCTTGCATTCAGTTGATGAATAGGAGGCATTTCCTAGGATCTATTATTGCCTTGACCTATTCGTTATTGTCTAGCAAAATGCATACATTATCATTAGTGTGTTATCCTAAAGGACCGTTTTTTGTTTGTGTATGTGCTTTTCAATGAACGATCTTTGTGGTCATTCTAATTACTTAATGTTGGCTTTTAATTTAGAGGCCTAGCTGGGGAAAGACATTTTAGCTCTTCGTCTCCCGTTCCGAATCAAGGTGATTATAAGGAGACTGCTGATGTGACAGTTATTTGTCATTCAAAGCCAGCATCGCTGAGTTCCACTGAAAGCTCTGATGGAGGTAAGAAGTCATAATTTGACCATTTAGTTTTGCAACTCTTGTGAAGCAAAACAGGATGATATCGTAAAATAACCCATTGTAGTTCTGCAAAAAGGATGATACACATTTTCATAATATTTCTATTTTTTCTTCTTTGATGGAATGATTGATCAATAGCTGAGTACTAAACATTCCACACCGTTTAAGTAATATTCTCTTATATTTTGCAATCAGTGGCATCCTCTTCTAAGTCTATTCTTAGTTTTTTATTTGAATCTCATGGTGGCAACCTTCCATTGATATGATATTTACTAATTTTTTTCTAGGTTCATCAAGAAGAATTGAAAATCTGCTTGACTTGGATCAAGTTGCTTCCAGTTATCAAATACACAATGAGATGTGCCTGGAAAGAATGGGCACAATCAATGTTGAGCCTTCTCTAAAACATGTCGATTTTAATGCTGACCTTATTGCCAGTCCTATATTCCAGATGAAAAATATAACTTCTGATGGAAGAGATTCTATAGGTTTTGGGTTCGAAGAGAACTCGGCATTGGTCTTAGAAGATTCTTCACCCGAGAATGAATTTGTGGAATCAAAGCAAGATGAAGGTGTTGGGATATCTTTAACAGATGAGCACTGCAAAACACAAGAACATGATGGAAGTGACCTGTTAACTGAAGTTGTAACTGATGATGTTGACAGCAGCAGTAGCCACCACGGAAAAGAACAACTGGAGGAGGATGAAGAGAATGATGAAATGTTTGGTGGTATGTTTGCCTTTTCCGAAGAAGGTATTAAAGGCTGCAGCTGTAGCTGCATCTATCCTAAATTTTATGTCCTACTTTTTCTGGTATCGTCCTATTATCATCTGCTAGTCTATTACTAATTAATTCATTAATTTCACGGTTTAGGTTGATTACAATAATCGAGGAATAAGTCACAGCACCTATGAAGTCATCTCCTCATCTATGCTGGCTGGAATCATAGCTAGGAAATATAAAACCAACGTAAATATTGTGAATAAGAAATGGCAAATGAGCACCAATTTAGTTTATTTGCTGCTGAATTGTGCAGTCTCGGTGGGACTCTCACACTTGTACATTCTGTAAATGGAATTGAAGTATTCATGGGCTTGCTAACTGAGTCCTAGAGTGTGGAAAGTTATGGGGTAAGGGGTATTTTGAGTTTTGTATTCACAGTCAACTTATCATTTATCAATGTCTGTAAATAAGAATCAGGCATGGAATTCCCTTGAAGTTGTGTAAAAACTATATTTTGAACTTGGCAAGGAGAAGAACTGAAAAAATGTAAAAGCTAAATTAGTAGTGTTAATTGATGCTTCTCCCTCCCTTCATGCAGATGAAGTAGTATGATGATTGATTATGTTAATGGAGAGAACTGTCTTTCTAAACTTTGCTTCAGTTCCTTTTATTACAAGAAAAAAATGGGAATTGCGCTAATATTGGAAGAACAATGAGAGACCAGAGTAAAATATAGTATGAGAAAATGGACTGCATGGCTGTGGCGATGAAGGTACGTAAGGATCAACACCCACATGAGATTAGAGTTTTTTTCATCTGGGATCCCTAAAGAGTGAACACTAGACCCAGATGAATGGAAATCTATTTTTCATGTGTACGTCAAAATAATTTCTTTGGTACTCTTTAGTATGAAGAACGTATTTTGACACCATTAAAATTGAGGAATCCTATTTTGTTTTTGTACAAAAATATTAAAATAATTTACGGTAATATATTTATTTTTGTTTTTGTAGAAAAATATTAAAATAATTTACGGTAATATATTTATTTTGTTTAATTTCATTTAGAGGTCTTGAAAGTATGGTTTGAAGTTAAATTTAGTGTTTATTCGACATGCGAGAAGATTGAGTATTTATGTTAGGTTGGTTTCAACTATATATCT